CCTTCGCCCCCATCAGCCCCCCCCCCCTTTCAAGACATCTCTAGATACGCCAATGACTTACATAGCCAGATGAATGAAAATACTCAATGGATGTGCCACCAAATCGTAACCAGCCTTCACCATGCCTTCACGATGTCACCGGGGACGCAACTACCAAAAAACTATTTTGGCAGCGAGCCCCCACCCCCACCCACTAGTAACGGAAAATATTATGACGGCCCTCTTTATTATTTCTGATAATAGAACCTAATTTTAGTAGTCTTATTTTTTTTTTTCAGTTTAGGAATGTCTAAATTTAGTTACACTAGCAATTCCGTATTATATTTATAAATTTTTATATAAAATCAAATTTTTCTTAAGAACTTTTGCCGGGAATGCGCCTTTAAACGTATTATCCAAAAAATCCAATCAGCAATTACCTCAACAACAGCCTGACATAAGCCTACATAATAAAAGTAAAAACAAGAAAATATCTGTTATTTCAAATTGTCGTATGTTGGACAATTCTCCCAGTCAGAAACAAACGTATCAACGACATCACTAAGAAATACTGTAAAGATTTGAAAATCAAAATCATTTTTGACTTATTAAAATTTGGTAAACGTAAGATCTCATTCTTAAGACTCAACGCCCTATGATTGTATATCAATTTAAATGTGATGCATGTAGTGCAACCCGGATGGCGCGAAACTACTCGCCAATCCAAACAAGAGCACCTAACAAGGGATACAAAAATTAAAGTTTTCCAACATTTCGAAAACAATCTTGAATGTGGTAAAAGATGTTATGAAGCCTGTTTTCAAATCATCGACACAGCCAACACAGAGTTTCAACTGGCAATGAAATTCCTACACATAAAATGGGAGAATACATACTTTAACAAACAAGTTCGCCAAGTCATCCTCACGCTATCTATCTAATTTAAATTTCTGACCATAGTCACTTTCGGTTATTCACCATAATCACACCATATTATACAAGAATGCATCATGCATGCATTAATCTTTCTGGATAAATATGAGAGCAGCATTATCTGTTTTTTCTTTCTTTTAGGCCGATGGTTAATGCTTTAACAGAAACATGTTCCGAAAATTAAAATAATACTCTTTAATTTATCCGCTGTATAGTATTCTTTATTTTGAATCGTCATTTTTTTTTTGGGGGGGGGGGGCAATCTGACTTTTCATTTACAAAGGAAAATACTCTTCTTGTCGGAATGACGCTATTATGAAAAAAAAACTTCGAGAAGATACAAGAAATCCGAATTGGACTTAAATTTTCTACATAACTGTAAATTCGATGTTTACTCCGAATTAAAAAGAACAAAAATCCACATTAAAAAAGAAAGCGAGTTAAATTTATAATTTATATTGTTAAAATGGGGGTATCCCAGTGGAAAACAAGGTGATCCGCCCTGAGGGAGAACCTTACAGTGTCATGTGTTTGACATGGTTGGTGGAGCATGCAATGCCCCCAAAAAGATCCAATCGCTCCCGGACCAGAGCATTCCCGCAACCCCAGGCAAAGTTAAAATGAAAAGAGATTGTGTATACGATAAAAAATATTTTCACAAATCAAATCAAATGACGTCATAATCATGGGAAACTGATAAAATCTTAGGAGGCCTAGTGAAACTAAATCGTTTCAAACCGTGCTAGTGTGAAAACTTCTCTTATTTCTTTTATTTTCTATATGAACAATTGCTTTTAGCTTTTTATCGTTGATCGTTATTGTCATAGTGTAAACAGGCATTAAGGCTGGTCGAATATAGCCCTTATACGCAATCATTAATTTTTGTGTTGAGACCGTCTTTAAATTTGCGTAACATATACAACTTTGCCAATCATGGGGTTCACATGACTATCCCATTTTAACTTTGATTGAATTATCACACCAAGTACTTTCATCTCATTAGCAATAGCAAATATTATGATGTTAGATAGCGGATATCCTGGTCTGAATTATCTTCATTATCCAGTTATGCGAATGAATTTATGCAAAAGGCTGTGTATGCCAAATATTTTAATATGTTACCATTAAGCAATTTAAAAAACAAATTAGCATACATCAAAACATAACGGTAACAGCTAAAGAAATAATTAAGCCGAAGGCTATAATTTATTTTCAATAGGAACTTGAAATGGACCCAAATGATTGTTATTACTAGTCAAGTTATTACATGCCACCTTTTTGTTCTCTTTGTAGTATTATTAAATATTATATGCCTATATTTTATCATTTTAAGCATGTTAATGGATATTGGCATGCTATCGAGAATGATTTTTCTTTTTGTTCTTTTTGTTCTCTTTGTAGTATTATTAAATATTATATGCCTATATTTTATCATTTTAAGCATGTTAATGGATATTGGCATGCTATCGAGAATGATGTGGACTTTTATTTGACATTGATATAAATTCTTTAATCGATAGATCGATAATGATAATGACGTATTAGCATTTGTTATTTTTTGGTAAGGTTGTGAAAAATGATTATTATCTGACACAGGTTGAGGTTATTTATTTCAGACCACTAATGAAGATCTGTATTTCGAATAGAACTTGAGATATCTGTAACTTTATTTTCACCGAGTGTCAGATCGTCAACATACTTGGATACAAATGTTCACAGGTTTTTCGTCTTGAAAGTTTTGAAAATGATGGGAGCAAGAATTGTTTCCTGAGGAACCCCCTCCTGTAAGTGGTTTAACCATCCATAGTTTAAGGACTTCATTTATTTAAATCTCTGCCTTCTATTGTTAACAATGGGGTGCAATGATGCCAGACAGTGGGTCCAAGGTCCCCGATGGGGTGGGAGCGATGTCCCCGACGAAAAAAAGTCGGCTTATTTAATCGATAATGAGGTCTACTACCCATTGCATGATTGATGGACAAACATTGATATTAAGAAAATTATTAAAAGATATGTTATGGATTTTGTGAGAAAAAGGGGTACCGTTTTGACTCATTTACTGTGTTAATGTGTCCAATGAACCGTTCAGGTGGCGGAAAGTTTTCCTTATGAGCCGCGGAACTAATGATAATTTGATCATTTTTATAGTTAGATAAGAGCTATTACATCATATTAGTTGTTAGTGCGGTGTTGTCGACACTGTAGTAAAGAACATTTCATATTCAATATTTTTAAGGATGTCTACGCAACACCTCTCAAAAGTGATGTTGGCAATTATTATTACTTTTATTTTATCAGAAATCCTGTTGCAGGTTAGTGGTACCACCACGATAGAAGGTAATTTCTTCCGTCAAAATACAATAATAACAGTACTCAAATAGGAAAATAATTATTGTGTAATCGTATGAAGCATAGGCCTTTGTTGCATGAACAATGTTTGGCGACATTTGAACCAACTTCTCGCTATCAAGGCGAGTATCATACCGCTTAGACCACAGAGATCTATACGTTAATAGTCGCAATTCTGAACCTTATACAACTGACATTTGCGCTCATACAAATAGGAGCTAAGGTTAAGCTAGGCGTCAGAATTCAAATCTGTTTCAAGCAATTGAGTTTTCACACTAGTCCTATGTGTAATGTGTATATTTATGAAAATATTTTTGAAAAAAAAAAATATTATTCATGTTAATTATAAGACATTAATTATTTTAGACATTGTCAAACAACAAAATGTTTTTCGTTTCTGAGCTACCAGTTAAACCAGTAAAAATCTAAAAAATATATATATAATATACGGTACTCTATGCAAGCGACGGAAAATACAAACTATATTTCATTTCATTTCATTATATTATCAGATATATTTTGTTTGAATTAGCTTTTTAATTATTCAGATTATTTCACCATCTATATTCAAAGTATTAGTCTGATAATACATTATTTTAGCATCTGTTACTGTATGTGGAATGCAACAAACTCAAGCAAGCAGTTCTCGTATTGTTGGTGGTGAAGATTCTCAGCCAGGAGAGTGGCCCTGGATGCTTTCGTATAATAACTATGGTACACATTTCTGTGGTGCATCTTTAATCAGCGAACAGTGGGCCATAACAGCTGCTCACTGCGTGTAAGACGTTCTTTTACATTTTGTCTGCCTTAAATATTACTAATTTTATTCACACACCAACAATTTACTTAAAATCAGCTTAAATTCATCTTAAGTCAAATTTATCAATATTGCTTAGCTTAAAAATTGCTTAAAACTAGGAAGTCAATTGTACGGAAGCGCCATCTAAGACAATTTTTAAGCCAAGATTTTGCTAAGATGGTTTAATAAATCAGCTGAAGATATTTATTAGGGACATCTTAACTTTTTTTGACTTATGACATTTGCTAAGCTGAGATTGATAAATCCCGGGCCATGTCATTAATTATATGTGGACGAATGTAAACTTACGCTTTTGAGAATGTAATACTTTACCAAATTCGTTTGAAGGTATAATAGCAATATAAAAAATCTAAAACATAAATGCTCTCAATATCAAATGTCAAAATTTATATATAAACGATAAGCTTCAAAAGTTGGAACAAGTCAATCGTCCAGTCACTAAGCTAAAATTTACCAGACATTGCTTTCGGGCATTTCTTTAGGAATGCCCAGAGAGCATAGGCTCTACCTTCGAACAGGTTTACTAAATTTACCATAATTATTTATAACCTTTTTTTCATAGGTAAACTTAATTTTAATCGATAGCAGTAAACATTAAAAATAGGCGCACGGTCGACCGTGTCGATAGCGATACCCTAATTAATGAATAAATTTCAGGCATTTTATTCTCTCCCATGTCCTCTAGCACTTATTATTGCGATATTGCAATACAAAATCACATGCATCTATAAAAAATGTATTATTTTTTTTTCGAAAAAGATTGAGAATATTTATTGAAATATTTTGTGATAAATTGCACTAATTCATGATTCATCTAAAATATCGTATGGGTATATTTTTCCATCTCCAGTTCTTCCACCAGTTGGATGAATATTACTGCAGGAATAACAACTTTGGACGATAATTCTGTGTTTCGTGCAAGTGTCCGTATTGCTGAGACATTTATCCATCCAGAGTACGATGATGATGTTTATTATAATGATATTGCATTACTTAGACTCGATTCACCGGTACAATTTAATAAATTTGTTCAGCCAATTTGCTATGAAAGCTTAGAATATCTACCCGATACAGTGTGTCATGTAGCAGGATGGGGACTTTTGGCGGAATATGGTAAGACTGTGATTTAAAATTGTATGCACGGAGGGCCAAACTTTGATATCGGTCCATTACAACATTCGTGTAGTTTATTGCAACACTCATTGGTTTAAAATAATCTAACAGTGCCTCATTTACAGTTACCCACTTATTGTTTTCTGTTTCCAAAAATTTGACTATTAATAATAAATAATGATAATGATAAGATAATTTGAGTAAGGACCAAAAGTTTGTGACGATTTACCGTCCAGACGCGTGCACAGATCTGGAGCAAATATATCGTAGCACAATTCTTTTAAGTGTCTTACCATTAATGACATTTCTTGAGTTCAATATTTATGTTCATTATCGTTACAAAACAATTTTACACTAGCACCAGTCTCTAAAATATTGGACGAGGATTTGCCACGCTACAAAAGTAACACCTGTGAAAATTCACTACTGAAATTACGTTAGTACAGTGCAGATTAATAATCAGTATAGCAGGTACGTGAAACGTACCACTTCAGTGAATGCGGCTGATATACAAACATGTATGTTCACTGAATAAAGCGAAATAAAATAAAGTGACCATATTAATCACCAAAATATGTCGATGCGTGACAAATAAGGAATCGTCACAACATTTTAGCATCTACAAAATAATTTTAGTGTTTTAATACCGTAAAACCTCGAATTGAAGCCAAACAATGTACGTAATACTCCATTGCTGGTTGTCTGTACAATATCGGAAGAAGAAGAAGAATACACTGTACATGAATTTAAAAAAACAAATAAATTGAAAGCAATCTTGGTTTATACAGTAGTTTTAGTGAATTATTGCCGGTTAAAACACTCCATGATACAGATTGATATTACAGTGGCCTTATGTATTGTTTCATAATACAAATTCACAAGATTTACTGCATTCATTTTGAAAAGAAGCCCTCCTCTTTACTTTGCAAAAGTAGCCTCGAACTCTATCCATAGTATTCCAGGCTACGGTCTTTTGCACTCTTCAAAAGCTGAAAGAGTGGGTGGTGGTGTCGCAGTATACCTTGACGAACGATTTCAATATAGGCCTACAAGGCGAAACGATCTATCTTTCTTTATCTCAACTAATTCCGAATCTCTTTTCATTGAAATCAGTTCGCATCCCAAAAAATATTATTTATATACTTGGTGTTATCTATCACCAGTATTACAAATGAAAACGTTCAATAATAATATTGCCATAGTACTTGACAACATGAATAATAACAAAATTGTTTATTTAGCTGGAGATTTTAATATTAACGTACTAAATTCTAACGTTCATAATTATACTGCCGAATTTTTAAACACCGTGTTTTCATTAACTTTTTATCCACTTATAACTAAGGCTACAAAAGTTACAAGAACTGCTATTCTTATTGACAATACTTTTCCAGCAATATACATGACAAAATTTATCGTGGAATTAATTGTGTATACTGATATTTCCGATCATTATCCTGTGTTCTCATTAATTGATAATAATATACCGTCCAACCTCTTTTAATAACCGATACGGTATGTTTACTGTAAAAGAGTAAATGATAGCTAATTCTTTAAAAGAAGAGCTTGCTCAAGTCAATTGGATAAATATTTAATATCGAAGATGATTTAACACAAGCTTATAATAAATTTCAAACTAAATTCGATTCTGTATATAATAAACATAGGCCTATTAAAACAATACAGTACGTTATAGGAGAGATTTTCCGAAAGAACGAAACAATGCATTATAGTCAAATAAAGTCAATCGATACTACAAACAAGCTTTATATGAAAATTTTTAAAAACTAAAAAAATAGAGACAAAAACAAATATATTAAGCATAAAAATGAATTAAAATGTCTATTAAAGCTTGAAAAAAGGATTATTTCAATGAAAAATTCAATAACCAAAAATAAGATATTTATAAAACATGGCAAACTATCACCAATGTTCTTGGCAAAATGAATACGAAAAATATGCCTTCGTATATGTTGCATATGATAACAAAATTACGGAACCACAAGCTATTTGTTCGCAATCTAATACGGTATTTATTTTGTTAACACTATAGGTCAAGAAAATTCTACCTGTATTACTACAAATTTTAATAATGAATCATTTACTTTTTCCCTACCATTTTCCTACCTACCATTTACTTCTTTTCTACCCAACCTCTAACTCGATGTTGATTTATCCAGTTACAGAAGTAGAAGTTTTTGATTTAATTATTGATTTAAAAGATAAAAAAGTGCGAGAATTGACGGTCTATCTAATAAAGTCAAAAAGCAGGTAGCAACTTATTATATCTAATACCTTATCACATATATTCAATATTTCTTTATTATATATCCGTATTGTTTGAAAATTGCGAAAGTCATACCAGTATGTAAAAAGGAAGATCTACACCAATTTAATAATTATCAGCTTCCCTTTCCTTGATTCTCAAGAATTCTGAAACGTATTGTCTATAACCGATTATATATTTTCTTTAACAAGTACAAGATTATATTCCAAAAACCAATTCTATTTTAGAAAAAAAATATTCTACATAACTTGCACTCATTGATATTTTCGATAAAATTACTAATGCACTTTCTAAGCTCGAATACACAATTGAAGATTTTCTTGATCTTTTTAAGCCCTTTGATAGGCCTACCATTAATCATAATATCCTTTTACTTAAACTTGAAAATTATGGTAAAATAAGTTTTAGTTTATTGAAAATGGTCGGCCAAATGCAGTATATAGCTTTACTCGGTCTGCTATTTGAATTAGCATATCCAGTAAGACGTGTATTACTGGATATAGTTTCACATAAACAATGCATATTTTTTACAAGGTACCTATCCAAACACGCTGCAAGATACAAGTGTTCCACTACTGAGTATCGAAGAATGCCGCAGACTTCTTTTTAAGTTTAACGTCACTGACAATATGATTTGTGCTGGATATGCTTCTGGTGGTCGAGACACTTGCTCAGTAAGTTAATATTTTTGTAATAATACTTGATATTACTTAGGTATTCAAATGCATTTGTATACCATTGCATTTGCATGATGGTGAATAAAAATAAAGATTTTTTAAAAATACCGAAAAAAAAAAAATTAGAAAGATTTATGGATTTATATATTCTTAAACCATGATTTTTTGAAATGCAATGGTGATGTTGATGATTGATGATGATGATGATAATAAATATAATAATACCAATAGGCCTAACTATAACACTAACGATAGGGATATAAGAACAAAAAGAAAATACAATAATAATAACAATTATGATTACAATGATAGTAATGATGTTGATGTTAAAAGAACGACGATATTTATGATAATGATTAGTATTTTAGCAATAGTAATAATACTGATTATAGTAATAATAATAATAATGATAATAATAATAATAATAATAATAATAACATATGATAATAATGATAATAATAATTGATTAAATGCATGTTTTGACAGAATGATAGCGGTGGTCCTTTGATGTGCAAATCAGATGATGGTACCTGGAACCTTGTCGGTATCACAAGTTGGGGAGTAGGATGCGCTCGACCAAATAGACCGGGAGTATACACTAAAGTGTCTAAATATGCTGAATTCATTCAGCAGACAATCAGTAAGTTTACTTGTGAATGTATTAAATGAACACCTGTAAAAAAAACTTTATACACGCCAAGCTCCGGAGGAAAAATAGTATGTTGTGGAACTGCTTTTTTTAAGACACAAAAGGGTGATGGACGAAACACTCAGGAACGGTATAGAAACAGATGTTTGAATATTTAAAAACCGAGGGAAAGGGACTAACCTTAGGCCTAATCATCGAAGGCATCAAAATACTGTATAGCATAAGACAGTTTTTTCCTAAATCCACATATTAAGTATGCGATAATATTTTTCCATTATTCCACACAGTTGGGTTATGTCGGTTATTTTATACAAGTTTACATTACTGATTTTTTGGTGCCAAATCATCTTAAGAATTATGTTTAGGTATTTTCTGTACGCAATAATAATAATAATAATAATAATAATAATAATAATAATAATAATAATAATAAAAATAATAATAACTGTCTCTTATACACATCTAGATGTGTATAAGAGACAGCAACAATACCTAATCAAGAAGCCTTTGAACAATGATAACCACACAAGCCTTGTATTGTATATAATAATAATAATAATAATAATAATAATAGTTTGATTTGTATAGCGCATCATGCGAAAAAGCCTCTATGCGTTTGGTGATTGAGCTCTTTGAGTTTGACATTTTGAAAAAAGTTTATGTTATTTTATGAAACTAAAAAACTTACTCCTTAAACTAAGGTATGGTTGGCCTTTGGTTCAGCTGTTTTTTTTTTCATGCTGCTGGGTGTCCATCCACCCTCCCATCGGCGGCCACTAAAGACCACCAGAAGGGGTTGCCGGAATTAGTCGCCGAGGACTCGACCGGATGCAGTTTATAACGTCGTACCCAGGTCACTATAATTTTATACTACACTTACATACGCTAAAATAAACTATAGTTAAACTATTCCCAGAATTTTCGGGTCAGCAGTCAGCAAATCAAGAAAACAAAAATTTCTTAAGCTTTTGACTTGGATATATTCAAACTTGTAGCTTCTCTTGTGTCAGTTGGTAACTGACATAAAATAATAATAATAATAATAG